ATAAAGGTTTTAGAGGATAGAGCGGAGCTGCAAACGACGAAAGCCGAGTCGACACGTGGCCCTGCCCGTCAACACAAATCGTTTTTCCAGAATTATCCCTCGCCACAGCGCGTGTACCAGGTATGTCGAAACGATGACGCAACGGTAATCCTCAACCAAACTCGCGTACGGGTTATTAGGAAAATAAATTGTACACGTCGTCCCACTCGCTTCTTTCATTTTCCAGTTTTTACCGTGCCACTTTGTATATTCGAGCCATTAAATTTCAAAATGTCCTCGTTTGACACGTGAATTTGATTTCTCGGCTTTGTCTTTTTTTTCTGCCTTTTTTGTGTGTGTCATTTTTTTCGTGAAGAAGCTGACTCAAAGACTTAAAACGACATTCCAGTAATATCGGATAAGCGTAACGGACGCTCGTCTTTATAATTCATAAATGAAAAATAAAAAAACAATTGGTACCGAAACTGCCGTGACCAAACTTCTGCCGTCGCATCGTATGAATGCAAGCGTACGAGTATCCTAACCGCCTAACGTTGACAGCGCCAATTTTCAATTCCAAACAAACGCACGCTCAAGCTGCCGAGCGTGCAACATTAACTCGATCTGTCGTTCAGGACAAGGAGCCGAAGCAGGTGCCAGAATCCATTTCTGTGAAGAAGAGCAACAAGAAGAAGACGAATAAGAAGCAGCAAGAGGAGCAACAGCAGCAGCAGCAGCAGCAGCAGCAACAGCAGCAACAACAGCAGAAGAAGAAAAATACAATGAAGGAGAAGAAGAAGAAAAAGAAGGAGAAGGAGAGGCCGGATAGCGACATATTCTACATCCGGCTGCCTCCCACGCCGTACAGCTACGTACCGGGGCTGGGCTACGTCTCGCGTCCGGCGCAGTTCTCGACCTCGCTGTTGCGGCCCTCGGCTCTCATCAACCTTCCCCTCGAGTTCGTGAGCAACGGCCGACCGAGCGCGGTTTATCGACTCGGGGATCATCAGCCTGGCAGGCGGCCCGACAGCCCCCTCGTCAAGCTCGATCGGGGCCCCTACGTATTCGATGGCAGGCCCGCAGTACTCTACCTCCTCAAGGCCGGGCCCCGCGCCCCCAATCGCCTCTGACGCGGACTGCACATTTGTAAATAATCCGAGTCGGCTTGTCGGCTTGTACCCTACCACTGCATTTGCCCCGTCAACTCTCGGTCTCGTTACTTGAAATTCTGCGCTCTTGTGTCGCTGGATGGCCGAACGTCGTTTGCGTGGCTGGCGATCACTTCGAGGCTTTCGTTCCATGAAAGGAGGCGCTTCGATTATCGGTAGACGCGACTCAATAAACCCAGCCGATCTTTAAGATTAAGCGAGCTTGTTCTCGAGCTTCTCAGCATCCGAAACGTTGCAAACATTTGAATGGATTCCTCGATCTTACGTGTTATAAAACTTTGCCGTTAAAAAGACGACTACTATTCGATGCTCGTCAATTGCAACCCAACAAAGTAATAATAATACACTCTTACGCTCTATGAAAAAACCCACTCGAATTTACAATTAGCAGTACGATTAATACAAAGAAATAAAAGCGTCCTGAGCATTTAGTGAAACACAAAGACGTGCATTAAACTTGCTTTTCGGGCAGCGATCGAATACCCTACAAAAAGAGCGTAAAGAGCATCAGCCGGACGAGATCATTTGAATCTTCGGAGCTAAGATGTAAGGCGAAATTTAACGTAAGCGCGGGCCGATTTACGGCTTAGCCTCGCATTATCGTCCATTAGTATGAGTCATCATCGGGGCGCCTTACAACCCGTCGCTGAATTTTTTTCCACGAAGTCGGATTCCACAGTCTCGCACGAAGGATGAATGCTTGGCTGAACTCGTAATTCGTAGCTCTAATCGCGACTGATCGTCTCGTGCGGAAAAGAACGACCGCTCAGCATTAACGACTTCGGCGAGGGCGAAATTGAATATGACGCGATTCCTCGCTAAATTGTTCGGCGATCCTCGAGAATGCAGCTTTTTAATGGGAATTATGGATTTGTTTGAATATCTGGCGCAAGATGCCAGATTACACAGGCGCGACTAAAGGAATACGTTTCCCCCAATTAAGAATTTAACGTCGGCAATGCGAACTGACGAGATTATGAAAGTGAGGCTGCTTAGCGTAGTGGCAAAAAATTTTCTCTTGACCATAACACAATTAAATGTGCTATCGTTCTTCAATAACTTCGCTAGTGTTTGATTGACTTTATTATTTATTTGGCGCATTATCATAGTTTTAGAGATACAGTGCTCCTATTTCATGACTAAAATAGAATAATTGACGAGCTTTAGACAATTTTTAAGATTAACTTAATTCATGCTACGAATTTTTTACAACAATTATTATTAGAAATACACGCGTAAGTTAGAATAATGAATCCTAGGGTTATTTACGACATATCGAAGCGTTGTATGATCGATTGTGCGTTACATCAATTTCTTTGCAATTTATATACTAAATGTATATTATATTTATCGTACCGATCGATAAAATAGAACTTTAAAGGCGTATTTGTAAAGAGTTCAAATTTTTTATACTTTTTTGTAAGTGCACGATACAATTTTAGTAGCTTTACACTGTAAATACATAAAACATCGTTTACAACGTTTAAATTATAGCGCAATGATTTCTTTTATCTTCTCCTTACCTACGTTGCGATATAGGCTATGATGTAATTTATGACTGGCAATGGCCATTGTTTTTCAAAAGGTTATTTAACAGCTTCAAATTATCTATCTCGATAAACAGTACATTTAATAACAACACGTTACTTGGATCATTTCATAGAGGCTTGAAATTGAGATCAAGGCAAAGGACCCACAAGTGCCACACCTCATCATTGATTCGAAGATCGTGTTTGTGTTATCAAAAATTGATCATTAAATACTATAAAATATCACCCAAATACGAGAGAATAGTAAAGAGTAAATAATGTGTGCAATTAATCTCTTGAAAAAATATTAATACATGAAACTGTATTGAACTGAATGTTTTGTTTTACTCTATAAACTCGTAAGACAGTATATGCCGACACGAATATATTTATCAAGAATATATGTATCTATTAACTATCAACGAGTACAGATAGCGAGAGTTGAATATAGTTTGCACATACAAGTACACACAGATACAGAAGAAATTATGATATTATTTTCCATTGATTATGGCAGCCTTTAGCTGTGCCGGAAATATTGCGGAACCGTAGTCCTTGACTTTGAATGATGAAACAAATGAGAAAATTATGTAAAAATGTCGTGTCCCGGAGACGCGACACCAAATCGTGTCACGAATAATTTGTCAAAAGCTTCAGATTATATCGGAAACGGGCAATGGCTCTCAGCTAATGCTCTATAATTCGTGAGCAACTTATCGTTATCACCTCGTCGGCACTCAAGAGGGAAATCTGTATGAAGCGATATTCCTTGACGCGGCCCTTCACCCAATCGTTATGTATTAACCAAAGCGTTGGCTTATTGGAGACTCCAGGACATTCGTTTTATTCGACTTATTCGGTACTCGTGATTATTTTTCCGTGTTATTCACGAGGCTTTGATGTTTTACTCCGATACATTGAAGAAGTAAATTCTGCTGGACATGGGAATTTGAAGTTTTAATGGATTCAACGCGTCGACTGATATTACTGATATCGATAGTCTGATCGCGAATCGGATATAGTCCTTTAAAATAGTTGTCCTCTACATTATTTTATTAGCTTCGGTCATTGGCTACAATTACTTATTTATACGTTTATGTGACAATCAGAGGAATACTTTTATTTCCATAAAATTTATAGATTAAATTGTTTGCCAGTAAAGGAAAAAAAATTGCACGTGTTGCATTTACGCTTTTATGATTTTAATGAGGGTCATCGTCAAGTCTACTATCTTAATAATTTGAAACATTTAGCGCTCATTATATTTCATTCTTTATAAATTGCTTTAACGAAGGCACAAGCAACATGCAATGTTTTTATACTCATAATAGAAGGGATGATTTTTTTTAAACCATATTGATATTTTATTAAAAACATTAGATGATATCGCATTAAACGATTTAGCTGAAATTTAATAATTGCTTAAAAAATAGGAAAAAAAGAAGAATAAAACAATGAAGAACAATTTCATAATAGTAAGTATAAATACTTTATTATGTAGCTCAATTATACTTGTAATAATCATACATAAAAATATTTAAAAATCTTCTTATTACAAGTGACGTAGACATGCATACACAGTAGTCATCGTATAATCTCGCGTTCATTCACACTTACATATCTACAAGTCAGCGGTTTTAATAATATAGCTGAAATCTAAGTATCAAACTACTACAGGTTTAATTGGTCATAATTATAAAACTAGGCACGTTCCTTGAAAAAAAAAAAGAAAAAAAATCTTTTTAGCAAAATATAGTTGATTGGCGTTTCAGTCTTCTACAAAAATCGCGCGTATTGTAGACTCACGCAAAGGTTATTACATCATTAAAGATTATTACATCGCAAAAAGCACAGTCTATTTTTCCCCTGACTTTGATAAGTGGACGCATACTGACAATACTCTGTTTCTATATCAAAATCAGTCGCTTATTATCTTCCAAAAATAATTTATTATACATTATTTCAGAAAGTTCTCATTAGTATACTAAGTCGGTGACTCTTAACGACATTGTTAACGACATGAAAAAATGGATATTAATCTGCAATTGATTTTCTTTTTTTAAAGTACTGTTGAAATATAACATTTTAATCATTGTTTGAGGATATATGATCCTTTAAAAATCACCATAAAATCCGCAAATTAAACATACTACCCTGCATGATCGCAAATTCAATCCCACAAGTTAATCAATTAGTTGGCGTCGTGATCGCGAATTTCTAAAGCCAAGCTTCTACAACTTCGGATGGTGTGTGGTAAAAATCATAAATGCCATATATTGTGGAGTATAAAAAAGTGGTGTCACCTGTACGATGCAAAATAGATTGTTACCATTTAATAGTTGTGGCTACAGAAAGAAAAATAATAGTAAAAATAATAATGATTGATACTTTACGGTAGAGAATTGATGAAAGGCCTCGTGTCAAAGGGGGATCGTGATCTTTCGCTTGAAATGCTATTTATCATTTACTCGTAATTTAATCGAATTATTAATGCACTAATAAACATGATCTCTAATTTTCCTTAAAATTTCCCCGTGTACCTTTTCCAAATCCATGTGATACCAGCTGGGCCTCTAGCTCTCGTAAACTCCACCTCGTGCTTCTAAACCAGCAGAGCCGTGGAATCGTTACGTGAACTAAATACACCAGCTGGTAATTTAAGCAAGTCAATGAAGCACCCCTTGTAAAATTCTCGCGCACCCTGGATAAAAATTTAAAGCGGTAAAGAGGATGGCGTTGGTCTAGACGCGAGTGACACCACTGTTTTATCAAAGTCCGCCACGTCAACACGAACCATTCAATCATCCATCGAACGTGCTACCGTATCCCCTCGCGAGCTCTATCACCTGCATCTACGGGAGCAGCGGGTGATAGTAAACAGGTTTTCGGCTCTTCTCCATGACGTAAAAGGCCTTAGGCTTCCCGTTGCCGGCGAAATGCTTACTAATGCTGGTTGAGATGGACTTGCCGACCAAGGCCGGGGCGTAGTAGTACGACACGGGAGACTTCTTCTTGTGGGTCTTGGTCCGGGCGCCATCCAAGGCATTATGCGAGCCGTGGACATCGTTCCCGGAAGCCTCCTGCCAATTATTGAAGCGATGATGCTGCCCCGCGACGTTCCTCGATATCGCCTTGCGATCCTCCTTGCTCTCCAGCCTGTAGATCTTCTCGCCATTTGAGCTCGACGCAGTCGACGGTCGAATCTTTAATTGGGCGATGTTGTCCAAACTTCCGATTCTGTAAAATTGTAGTCGATGTTTGGCCGATCTGAACGACAATTAGCGTTGCGCGCAATTAACGGGCTGTCGCCACCGCCACCGCGGTTGGGTATAATGAAATGTAGAAATTAGTTTCGAGTAATTGATAGAAATAATGAAGTAAAAATTGAAACAGCACACATGTGCTCGATATCCAAACGCCCTTAAATAGTTTGCGGATGTTTGTTAGCAGGTATTATGGCGCTTCGTATCATACGATTTTGTCTTTAAATTTACTTGCTAGATATATTTGCTTATGACGTGTCATATTGCCAATGATTTTTTATAACTCGCCAATAAAAATGAGAAAACAATCCCGAGGGTTCTTGAGAAACTTGTATCAGTATGTCCGGCCCCGAGTATCCTTCCATTGGCAGATAAATGAGAACATCGAGCGGGCAAGACAATAAGAAAGAAAAAAAATAAACAAGCACTTAGTGTGCGCGTATAGTAGACCGTGAAATAAGATCGTCTAAATGTTATAAAATAAATATGCTAAATTGCCGAATCATTGGCAAATTAGCCAAACGTTGGGCTAAAATTAAGAAACGAGAATTCGCGAGGGGAGAAGCCGTGACCTTCAATTCCCACGAGCCCTTACCGTGCCTCAGCCTTCTCCGGATGACTCAGCCGCTGGGCTTCCTCAGTGCCGTCGCGACCAGCTGCTCCTGTGCCAGCTTCTTGAAGTAGCTCAACTTTTCGGCGACCTTGAGCCGCTCCCGCTCGGCCTCCGTCTTCTTCCTGGCCTGCTCCACCTTGAGGAGCGCGAGATGCTTCTTCTTCTCGTTGATTTTCTTGACGAGAGGCAAATTCCAGTGATAGATTTTGGCTGGCTTGCCGTTGCTTCGGAAGCCCGGATTCGGTTTTGTCACCGTCACGTTCGTCTCCGCGAGTTTATGAGGCTTGGAGAAGCTGTAATAGGGCGGACTTGCCGGCAGTTTAACCACGTACACGTGGCTGTCGTGGGGCGAGCCACTATGGCGCCTGCCGTATGCCGCCGGGTGGACACGCATACCGTCCCGGGCGCCGAAGGCTTCCGGTCCCGCAAGACGCTTCCTGTGATGACCGTCGGGCTGGCCGACCGGCACCAGACCCAGCCGATTCAAGATCGCCGCGTTGCTCGTGCGTACTGTCTCATATTCCTCAGAGGGTACCGACATCGCCCCGCCACTCAGCATCACCGCCAGCAGACAAAATCTGAAACATGATTTCGAGCCTTTAGTTAGGTGATTATCTGAACCTCGGTCGAGCGATATTCCAACCGTACATTTTCCATTAAACATTCACTATGTCGCAATGTGAATTCAGAGGGCCGGGTCGAAAGTAGAGGGGGGAGATGGTAGTGGGGAGAAGGGGTGGCGAGATATGGGGGTGGACGATCTTCGACGCTATTGCTTCGAGATGATGAATTTCATATTAAGGACATTCATGGCCCATATCACCGTTTTGAAAGGTGTCGAGGAATAAAATATTCGTAACTCTACTTTATTCAACCTAACATAAATAAAGGGCGTCGTCGTGGTTTTACGAGAGAAAATCCGTATTAATTACTTTATACAAAAGTATACAAAATAGGTTTCTTAATTACATCTAATTCATATTATCGTAAGCTCTTGGAGGGAGATACCACCGATTCATTAATCTTCACGTTCAATTTTAAAGTAAATGTTAAAAATAATGATAATAAACGAAATTCGCAATAAAGTGTCGAGGTTTGTATTATTTTCTTTGAAAGCTTTTCGCCGTTATTAGAAAATGACAATAATATAACTAACGATTAGGGAGGAAATGATGCTATTTTTAAACTGTTTATTTAAAAATACAAAACTGTTGTTTATTTAAAAAAAAAAATTAAAATACAAAATACCTTATGTGTAGGCATTACTTATGCTCTAATGCAGCTAATACCATACTAATATTTTGTTAAAGTCTTACATTTATCAATCTTACTAAACAAATTTAGCGAGAATTAAAAAAGAAACGGTTATTCTTGAAATTTAGTTATCCAATGTCATTGGCTAAATGTCCTCGTTCCCCTCGTCGTTTACAAGTCACATACGCACGATAACCTCTTGCTTAATTTATAAAAGCTACGGAATATTCGTTCGCAGGACTAATATCTCTTTTGTCTCGGCGCGAGGTACCGGGAATAACGAAAGTACTTTGGGTGGTGTGAGTTGGGAATCGATTATTCCTCGGCTACGCGCGTCCACGAGTTTTTTTCTTCCCGCGGTACGACGCTGATCCCCGAAAGGACTTAAGGGGTCAGGGGCAAAGGGGGCTTGGTAGCGACGGGAAGGGGATATGGGGAGCGGGGAAGGCGAGATG